AAAATAAGTTAGTAACACTATGTTTCACCTTGCTACGCATACTAATATTATATTTTTTTTTTATAATTTAAGTGAAAAATGTAAAGTAAATAATAAATTGTCGAATGATAAAATGTCATGCCAATTATCTATCAAAATACAAAATTCCATGTCATAATTATTCAAAAAAAATTAAAAATAATAACTCAGTATTAAAGTCTCAATATTTTAATTCTTTATTTAAACATTTTAATCTATACATTACTTACATCTATTTAGATCAGTATTTATCACGATCTTATACATTGATACTTGTATTTTCAACACATTTTTGTTAGGTAGTCCTGTAATAAACTTTGTAATAAAATCTCAGAATCTGGATCACACACATTTTTAATTGTTTTATCATAAAATAAATATGTAGTGTGGGAGAGCCAAGCTTCGGCACGAATGGTTCCGCTCGACCGGAGTAATATGTACCACGGCCTCACAGAAAACCGGCGTGACACAACCGTTGTGTTTCAGCATGTGAGTGAGGTTACCACCATCCCTTCTCAATCCTTAAATATCAGATAAAAAAATATAGTATGGTAATATCGAGCTGGTTTGTTGATAAAATTTAAAAGTTGCGCACCAAACTTTGGGATACATACATATAAGCAAACATAAATTATCGAATTAAGTAGCAATCGTTGAGAAAAGTGAAAAGTATTTCGTTTTTATTCTCTTGAAATAATACTTTCTGATATATCTTGTTGTGGGTTCTAAGATGTGTGTTTCAGTGTTTTCTTAGTTGTATCTAGTGCAGACCCAGGCTCAAGAGAGAACCTCAAAGAGCCAATAGACCACCACAGACCGGGCCTTAGATGTTCAGCCGGGATTGCGGGTTAAGCGCAATGAGTCACCGCCCAGAGCTGGAGAAGGAACGGACCCCCCCGTTCCTACCGTTCGTTCCGTTTTAGTCAGTAAGAGTCTGACACTCTCTCTCGACTTACCCTGGGCGGGAGAACACAATTGATGATTTTCCCCTCTCAAAAGAAAACCATATCCTCAGGCAAAGACCACGTATATTATTTCACTTGCACCAGCAACTCAAGATCTTCCTGGTCACCACTATTTTCACCAGAAAGGGACATTGAGTCTTCTCAGTAGACCATGCCACGTTACCAAACACTAGGTAGACATTTTTTGTTATTTGTTCTTTTCTCTATTTCAGCTTGTTTCCGCCGCGTCCTAGCCGGGAAGCGAGCTCTAAGGAGTCACGTCAGGAAAGTGGTTCCTTGTGAAAGACTCGAAGACTGCAGAAGAGAATGTGCCACGGAGAAGAGGTTTCCCTGCGAAAGCTTTAATTATAGGTAAGTGGTAGATATCAGGCTTGACAGAAAAGTCTTGTGGTGTATGTTGAGTCGAATATAAATATTGTGTAAGTGTGGGAGAGCCAAGCTTCGACAAGAATGGGTCGGCTTAAAAGGGGTGATACGACGGCCTCACAGAAAACCAGCGTGAAACCACAGCGTTGTATTTCGCCGTGAGGTTACCGAAGGCCCAATCTGTGGACCATGGGCTAACCCGGCTAGAGTAAACGAGAGCTTAGCGCGTTTCGTATGAGACTAACCATACAGCAGCCCAGAAGAGACCAGGATATTTTGGAAACTTTCTCTTGCCCAACCCAGGATGGTAGAAGTCTACACCCTCATAAAAAAGACAGCCATTTTGTGTTTTTCATGTCCTTCAGATGCGTTTTACTAGATTGGTATGGGTTTTTAATGGATTTTTTTATGAGATAATTCGGCAAACGAGTAGGCATATTATCTGATGGTAAGCAATCGGAGTCGCCCATGGGCACAGATGCCGCAAAACCAAAGAAGTTTTGAGTATGTTACCGGCCTTCTTGGGATAAGTGTTTTGGATGTTTAAAGATTGGGATGGGGTCGGGCAGGGGGAGGTATTGTCCCCCCGATAACCTCACTTTTACGGTGAAACACAACGCTGTAGTTGTTTCACACCGGTTTTCTGTGAGGCCGTGATATCACTGCGGTCGATCGTGCCGAAGCATGGCTCTCCCACACTTGGTGTAAATCCTGAATGCCTGGGTGACTAGGTAGGTATTCAGGATATATCCAAGTAAAAAAGATTTGGCTTACAATTATTCTGAACCTTATTCAGAACGACATTCAAATACAATTTGCACTTAAAGTTAACTAGCAATAAACTGCCAAGTAACACAAACTCGCTGACATAGATGCAAAGATAAATCTATATAGAAAAATAGCTCCGAATGTCTGTACGTTGTTCACACGCATTTTTCGCACAATTGTGTACATTTCCTGATTTGTGGCGACCTTAATATGTTAATTGTTACAAAATTTTCGTTAATAACCCACTGTGTTTGTTTTTATGTAGCTATTTTTAATATTTTGTAATCAGTGATTTGTTGTGTAATTTTTTTATGGGAAGAAAATCATAGCAGTATTAATTCATGGGTTTGCCAATGCAATGTAATAGACTGCACGGTTGGCGCGGTGGCTGGGCAACTGGCTGCTGCGCAACGTTTCGCGGGTTAGATTCCCGCTCGGAACAACTCTTTGTGTGATCAACAGATTGTTGTTCCGGGTCTGGGTGTAATCATCATCATCATCATCATCAGCATGATGCATAGGTGATTATTATGGGTGGGTGGGTGTAATGAGCATGTGAAATTGTATGTTTGTAAACGCACCCAAGACACAGCAGAAAATCATAATGTGGTTTTAAAAAAAAAACACTTTTCACCTTTACCATCATCAGCCTATAAGTGCCCACAGCTGAGCAAAGACCTGTTCTCACACGGAGAAGGTTTGAGCATTAACCACTATGCTTGCTCAACGCGGATTAGCGATTTCAAACTTGTAATTAGAAATTGTAAGTCAAGGTTTCCTGTTTGATCCAGAGCAGGAGAAGGAACGGGGGGTTTTTAGTTAGTAAGAGTCTGACACTCTCTCGCCTTACTCTGGGCTGGATTCAGCCGGGGTTGCAGGTTAAGCGCAATGAGGCACCGCGACCTCGGCCTAGAGCAGGAGAAGAAACAGGGGGGTTTTAGTCAGTAAGAGTCTGACACTCCCTCCCGCCCGGCACCCGGCCCTGGGCGGGAGAAATCATTTGATGATTTTCCCCTCACAAAAAAAAAAAACACTGGGCTGGATGATTTTGCCCTTACAAAAAAAAAGGTTTCCTGTTTGATGACGAATTTTTTCTTCACCTTACTATGTCAATGGTGTCTAAATAATCATAGGTAGAAAATATAACTCGGAAAATGTCACAATAGTACTTGTCAGGTTTCTGACTAGCACCTTTGTGTAGTTACTACACTACGTTATAAAGCTAAATCTCAATATAATCGCGCGCCTCAAACAGCCATTATAGATTGGGGGGAGGGGTGGCATTGCTATGGCTAATGCTGGCCAGGGTGACGGGTGCTAGTGTAGTCATGCTGGTGGAAGTAATTGAAGACATTACATTTAAACACCTCAAAAAGTGTTAGTGTCCTAAAGCCGGGCTGTCTGAACAACTCCTGTTCATAGAGTGTTATAAATTGAAATCGCTTCATCCGTTCAGGCTCCAGAATGCCACAGACAGACAGACAGACACGTCAACCTTATAACACCCATCTTTTTCCGCCGGGGGTTAAAAGTAGCTAAGAAGGACATTTTTAACAGAGACGTTTTAAACTTGTATGCTGCTTTGAGGTTTCGTAAAAAACAAGACATTTGACATAGACATGTTAAACTTTAAAACTGCCATCTTTAATCCGTCTTTTTTTATTTAATAGTTCGGCAAACGAGCAGACGGATTACCTGATGGTAAGCAATCAGCGCCGCCCATGGACACTCGCAACAGAGGAGTTACGATTGCGTTGCCGACCTTTTAGGGATTAGGGATTTGGAGATTTAGGGATTTAGGAGGGATTGGGTCTCCGGTAATCTCACTCACACGGCGAAACACAACGCTGTGGTTATTTCACGCCGGTTTTCTGTGAGGCCGTGGTATTACTCCGGTCGAGCCGACCCATTCGTGCCGAAGCATGGCTCTCCCACACTTGGTGTAAATCCTAAATGCCTGGGTGACTAGGATATATCCAAGTAAAAAAGATTTGGCTTACAACTATTCTGAACCTTATTCAGAACGACATTCAAATACAATTTGCACTTAAAGTTAACTAGCAATAAACTGCCAAGTAACACAAACTCGCTGACATAGATGCAAAGATAAATCTATATAGAAAAATAGCTCCGAATGTCTGTACGTTGTTCACACGCATTTTTCGCACAATTGTGTACATTTCCTGATTTGTGGCGACCTTAATATGTTAATTGTTACAAAATTTTCGTTAATAACCCACTGTGTTTGTTTTTATGAAGCTATTTTTTAATATTTTGTAATCAGTGATTTGTTGTGTAATTTTTTTATGGGAAGAAAATCATAGCAGTATTAATTCATGGGTTTGCCAATGCAATGTAATAGACTGCACGGTTGGCGCGGTGGCTGGGCAACTGGCTGCTGCGCAACGTTTCGCGGGTTAGATTCCCGCTCGGAACAACTCTTTGTGTGATCAACAGATTGTTGTTCCGGGTCTGGGTGTAATCATCATCATCATCATCATCAGCATGATGCATAGGTGATTATTATGGGTGGGTGGGTGTAATGAGCATGTGAAATTGTATGTTTGTAAACGCACCCAAGACACAGCAGAAAATCATAATGTGGTTTTAAAAAAAAAACACTTTTCACCTTTACCATCATCAGCCTATAAGTGCCCACAGCTGAGCAAAGACCTGTTCTCACACGGAGAAGGTTTGAGCATTAACCACTATGCTTGCTCAACGCGGATTAGCGATTTCAAACTTGTAATTAGAAATTGTAAGTCAAGGTTTCCTGTTTGATCCAGAGCAGGAGAAGGAACGGGGGGTTTTTAGTTAGTAAGAGTCTGACACTCTCTCGCCTTACTCTGGGCTGGATTCAGCCGGGGTTGCAGGTTAAGCGCAATGAGGCACCGCGACCTCGGCCTAGAGCAGGAGAAGAAACAGGGGGGTTTTAGTCAGTAAGAGTCTGACACTCCCTCCCGCCCGGCACCCGGCCCTGGGCGGGAGAAATCATTTGATGATTTTCCCCTCACAAAAAAAAAAAAACACTGGGCTGGATGATTTTGCCCTTACAAAAAAAAAGGTTTCCTGTTTGATGACGAATTTTTTCTTCACCTTACTATGTCAATGGTGTCTAAATAATCATAGGTAGAAAATATAACTCGGAAAATGTCACAATGGTACTTGTCAGGTTTCTGACTAGCACCTTTGTGTAGTTACTACACTACGTTATAAAGCTAAATCTCAATATAATCGCGCGCCTCAAACAGCCATTATAGATTGGGGGGAGGGGTGGCATTGCTATGGCTAATGCTGGCCAGGGTGACGGGTGCTAGTGTAGTCATGCTGGTGGAAGTAATTGAAGACATTACATTTAAACACCTCAAAAAGTGTTAGTGTCCTAAAGCCGGGCTGTCTGAACAACTCCTGTTCATAGAGTGTTATAAATTGAAATCGCTTCATCCGTTCAGGCTCCAGAATGCCACAGACAGACAGACAGACACGTCAACCTTATAACACCCATCTTTTTCCGCCGGGGGTTAAAAGTAGCTAAGAAGGACATTTTTAACAGAGACGTTTTAAACTTGTATGCTGCTTTGAGGTTTCGTAAAAAACAAGACATTTGACATAGACATGTTAAACTTTAAAACTGCCATCTTTAATCTGTCTTTTTTTATTTAATAGTTCGGCAAACGAGCAGACGGATTACCTGATGGTAAGCAATCAGCGCCGCCCATGGACACTCGCAACAGAGGAGTTACGATTGCGTTGCCGACCTTTTAGGGATTAGGGATTTGGAGATTTAGGGATTTAGGAGGGATTGGGGGAGGGGAAGGATTGGGTCTCCGGTAATCTCACTCACACGGCGAAACACAACGCTGTGGTTATTTCACGCCGGTTTTCTGTGAGGCCGTGGTATTACTCCGGTCGAGCCGACCCATTCGTGCCGAAGCATGGCTCTCCCACACTTAAATTCGCCGTCTGCATAGATATTCTAGAAAACTCTCTTTACACACATGAGATCCAATCAACTTCATCAGTGAAATGTCACGTAGTTCTGTCGTGCTGATTACGACCTTTGAAAAGATTATTAAATAAAATTCGTAGTTATATTCCACTTTAAGTGTGGGAGAGCTAAACTTCGGCACAAATGGATCATCTCGACCGGAATGATACAATACACCGACGTGAAACACGCATAACGTTGTGTTTTGCCGTATTACTTCTCGTATTCACACCTCTCCTCAATCCCTTAATCTCCGAAACCCTAATCTTAAAAAGGCCGGCAACGCACTTGTACACCTCTGCTGCTGATATGGGTGGCGCTGATTGCTCACAAACATAATTTGCCGAAAGATCACATAAAGAACTTAATCTTCAAATTATCCTTTCTCATTTTTAAACTCTTTAATTTTAAAAATGGAAAGCTAACTAAATAATTCCTTAACTAACATCTTCGTAAAACCTTCAAAATGCGCTCCTATCATATTGAATCTCCGACGTGGACCAGTAGCCACTCAGATGGCTGAGAACAATTTTATCTAAACATCTCAAGTGTGGCTAGTACATTTTGTACTAAAGACCCTTCTCTACACGGTCCGTAAGCAACTAGGTTTTGATAGGGTTGCCGCATTCAAAATAATGGAATGACCTTGAATATAATTGCAGCCGAGTTTGGAATTGTAGCCAATTCTGAGAAAAGAAAATTCTTTTAAAAGAAAATCGTGTTAGTTATAACTTAAGAACGGCTGAACCGATTTGGCTGAAAATTCGTAGGGAGGTAGCTAAAAACTGGGAGAATGACTTTGGATGGGTAGAGTAAGTAGGGACGGGTAAATAGAGTAGGCAGAGTAGGTAAGGTAGGTAGGGTAGGTAGGCTAGGTCGGGTAGGTAGATTAGGTAAGGTAGGTAAGGTAGGTAGGGTAGGTAGTGTAGGGTAGGCAAGGTAAGGTAAGATAGGGTAGGTAGCGTAAAATTTTTGCATTAGCTCATGACGATTCTTAGGTGTGTCGCCTCAGTTGACTGGACAATCTCTGCCTTACATAAGCTGCTGTCCCTTCACCTAGGAATCCCTTTGATAATTGGAGTCGTCATATTTTGTGGACTTGCACCTTACTCGTGGTCGATTACGTTTGACCTCGGATCACTCAAATGAAGCTATCTAGATATCTAATCTAGATAGCTTCAATAAGAGGACTGAGCGACAAAATTCAAAATTTTATTTTATGTTCAAAAGTGCCTGTATTCGACCCTCTAATTGGAATTAAATATTTTTGTGTGGAAATATTTTGTGTGATCTGATCTGATTTTTAATCTGGGTCGGGGTTTTGGAGGTTTGTTTGTGAAATACCGTTTGAAAACGGTGTGGCCCAGAGGTTAAGGCTTCTCATACATTGCGGGTTTGAAACCCAACAAGAACTACGTGACATTTTTGTAGATATTTCTATGATTAATTAGACACCACTGACATACGATGAAGGAAAAAATAAGTTTGAAATCGCTAATTGCAAGCGTTGTGATTAATGCTCAAACCTTCTCCGTGTGAAGAGGCCTTTGCTCAGCAGTGGACACTTAAAGGCTGATGATGATGATTATAATTATATACGTTTGTACACACCCACGGTATAGGAAAAAAAACTACTTAAAGGAAAAGTTCAAAACGCCAGTGAACCGGTTGAAACCGCTAGCAAATTTTCTGTCTCTTTCAGTTAAAAAGGGCATGATGTACACTTTGATATGACGCGTTATATAATAACATTTGTCCACTATAATAATGCATTCGTGTGCACACAAAAGTGACAGAATTGGGACAACAGCAAGGTTGCTCAGAGTATTAGCAGCTATTGTGCGAACAGTATCGTAAGATCACTAGAGTATGACGGCGTATGTACCTTGCATGTAATCACGATAGTAATGTGGTGGTGGCCCGGAGGGTTCGGAACCTGCCAAGTACCAATGTGACTTTTTCCGAGTTATATGTACTTTTTATGATTATTTAGACACCACTGACATACGGTGAAGGTAAACATCGTGATGAAACCTGGACTTATAATTTCTAATTTTATGTTTGAAATCGCCAACCCGCATTAAGCAAGCGTCGTGATTAATGCTCTAACCTTGTCCGTGTGAGAAGAGGCCTTTGCTCAGCAGTGGGCACGTATAGATGATGATGATGATATAACCACGGCCTTTAGGCCTAAAGTTATAGGCAAATTACACTAGCGACCCGCCTCGACATCGCACGGATAAATGCGAAACTTACGAGGTCTGGATGTTTGTTACTCAATCACTCCAAAACAACTGGACGTATCTTTATGAAATTTGGCACAAGCATAAGATACACTCCGGAATAGGAAATGGGCTTTTTATCAGCATACCACGCCGACGAATCCGCGGGCGGAAGCTAGTTATACATATAAATATTTCTCTTCAATCAGTCTAAGCCGCATCAAAATTTTATTGTATAGTTTTAAAGATTTAAGCGTACAGGGTTATAGAGACAGAGAAAGCGACTTTGTTTTATTACTGTGTAGTGATTATATGAGCGATGCAGTTGGGTAATCTTTGTTTAAAATTAATTTCCTACAAAACAGGAGTAACCCAGTGTGTTTTTTTTTAAATAAAAAAAGGATAGAGTTTAGCAGTGTTTTTGTGTGTCGTGGTGGCTCGGAGGTTAAAGAGTCCGCTTCTCATGCATGAGGGTGTGGGTTCGAAACCTGGCAAGTACCAATGTGACTTTTTCCGAGTTATATGTACTTTCCATGATTATTTAGACACCACTGACATACGGTGAAGGTAAACATCGTGAGGAAACCTGAACTTATAATTTCTAATTATAAGTTTGAAATCGCCAACCCGCATTGAGCTAGCGTGGTGATTAATGCTCTAACCTTCTCAGCAGTGGGCACTTATAGGCTGATGATGATGAGAGTTTTGCAACGAAATTTTTTAATTTTAACGACCCAGCTCGTCATCACACGGGGCAATGCTGTATTTAATAGATGTTATTTTTCATAAAAACTGTCCTGTTCAACCACTGCACTGCGGAGCTTGAAAGAAGGACATAGGGACTGAATACTCTGCAATAGCTCTGCTTTCTGAAAGAAAATCCTTGTTCTTCTATGACATAGGTCGGCAAACGAGCAGTTGGATTACTGACACTCGAAATACCAAAGTAGTTACCTACTATAATTAGGTTTCCCGTCTCTTGTAGGTCATTAGAGGATTAAAGGATTGAGGATGGGGAGGGAGGGGGCAGAATTGTGCCTCAGCTAACCTCACTCACACGGCGAAACAAAACGTAAGCGTTGTTCCACGCCGGTGTTCTGTGAGGCCGTGGAATCTCTCTGGTCGAGCCTGTCCATTCGTGGCGAAGCATGGTTCTCCCATTTGCAGCATGTTTCTATCATATTACAAGTAGAGACAAAATTAATTTGTGTTTTATCTTTCCAGGTTGGACCGGACATTCAGGGGCAAAGGCCTATGTGAGTTAATGACGAAACCAATTGAAGCCTTCGACATACGACGCGATTTCATTGAGGATAAGGACTTTGATTTCTTCGAGCTCGATCGTAATAGCCTTGAGCCGAATTGTCCCGACACTTTACGGGGTCCTGGAGTCCTGCATTCCGGTTTTTTATCCTCGAAACCCAATAGGATTGAAGGGGAAGGGTCTCAAAGCGGTTGGAGAGACAGATATGATGGATTTGATGGACAATCTGATCGGTTTGGGGGTCATCGGAGAGGCGGTTACGGGAATCGAAGATATGATGATAGGTTTTATATTCCTTATCAGATTAATCAAGGTGAGTGTTTTATTGTGGAAGTTTAAAGTTAAATAAAACTAGGATATTTTTTGTAAAAAGGCGATAATACATCTAGATAAGGCCATTTTCTATCCGACTACTCTGGGAAAAAATGCTAAAATAAACTTACCTTAATTATATGCTCAAAACAAACTATTAAAGGGGTTTGTGAAATAAAATTTTCATGTGAAATCGAAACAATTTATTTTTGACTAAGAAAACTACCCGATTTTTAAGCTCAGCCTGTCTTTGACTTAGTTATTAATCACGGTATTAATACGTAGTCGTACATTCAATCGGCAAAAATATACAATTTATTTTGTTTCGCAACCAGGGTAGACATAAAAAAAATGTATTTTTCTGAACTGTTTGCTTCTTTAAGCCTTTAAAATCTTCACTGCACCTAAACCTCAACATTTTATTACAGGGTTGGCTCGAAGCAACGATGACCAAGAACTCTGGGGAAAATACGGAGGAGAGTACGGAGGGAACAGATATTACAAAGACAGAAACGACTATCACAAATCCGTCACTCACTGGCAAATATCCTCCGATGTAGAACGGCCCTCCTATGGAGTCAAACCCCATGGAAATACAAACTTCGACTACCATAATCTGGGCAAAAATGGGGGTTCCTGGATTGGCGATCGATATGGATATGGTTCTTGGAAAAGGGGGAGGTGGAACAGCTCAGGGAACTCTGGCAACCCTAATGGATTAGATTATGGGGATTCAAGTTTTTTAAAGCAGAAACATCATCATGAATCCATTGATCGGAGTGATGATGGGAGGACAAAAGGCAAGTTTAAATTAGGGTTTGTTTTGTTTTTTGGAAATTCCCGACGCGTATTGGTATGTTGCTTGTTAGTATTATCCTTTTTTTTTTTGATGTAATAGCTCGGCAAACGAGCTGACGGATTACCTGATGGTAAGCAATCAGCGCCGCCCATGGACACTCGCAACGGAGGAGTTACGAGTGCGTTGCCGACCTTTTAGGGATTAGGGATTTGGAGATTTAGGGATTGAGGTGGGATTGGGGCAGGCGAAGGATTGGGCCTCCGGTAACCTCACTCACACGGCGAAACACAACGCAGAGGTTATTTCACGCCGGTTTTCTGTGAGGCCGTGGTATCACTCCGGTCGAGCCGACCCATTCGTGCCGAAGCATGGCTCTCCCACACTTATTTTATCACAGACTATAAGCAGCTTACATATGCCCCACAAGAGGTCTGATCTCGCATAGAGAAGGATGGAGCACTGCCACGTTCATAACACCTTTGTTCATCCGAAATGAAAAAAAAATGATACGATTATTATGATACCTGATGGTAGGCAATCAGCGCCGCCCATGGATGGGTGACCATGGAACACTAGAACAGTTGCCGGCCTTTTAGTGATAAGGGTTTTGGAGATTTAGGGATTGGGGGAGGGAAAGGATTGTTATTTAAGTATATACAGATAATCACGACCTCTATTCTTCCTGCGGATATTACAAGACCCGACTAAAATATTACAGCTTTGCCCACTAGAACCAGTACGTGGGAAAGGACTATTGGACCTCCGGTAACCTCACTCACGCTACGAAACACAACGCTGTGGTTGTTTCAAGCAGGTTTTCTGCGAGGCCGTACCCACACTTATTAGGAAAACTGGATAAAAAATATTATTATAAGTTTATAATTGCCAATAATGTACCTTAAGCTTTTTTTTTGTGAGGGGAAAATCATCAAATGACTTCTCCCGCCCATGGTCAGGCGGGAGGGAGTGTCGACTCTTACTGACTAAAAACCCCCCTGTTCCTTCTCCTGCTCTGTGCCGAGGTCGCGGTGCCTCATTGCGCTTACCCCGCAACCCCGGCTGAATGTACCTTAAGCTTAAGGTACTTATTTAATTATCGTACGACAAGAAGCCTTGATAGTTGCAGACAATTTCAGGATAATGATGGCTGTTGTTGTTATTATCAGTTTCAAGGTCACTCTTGACAATTATTATTTTCGTATTTCCAGATTGTTCTTCTCGCCGAAGACCAGGCATGTCTTTAGGCACGGGGGCCATACGAAGAGCTCTGATATCCCGCAACGTGGTAGAGTGTGAGGCAGCCTGCTTCAGTGAGAGGGAATTCAAATGTGTGTCTTATAGTTATAGGTAAGAGATATCAATTTTCTTTATCGTCACTCATTCTCCTTTCTTCATCCATCGCCATCTTCCTTTGTTATTTGGAGCCTTAGAGCGTAAATTCCATTTTGGAGTTGTCGCAATATAATTATTTTTAAGTACCATTCTCTATTGCATTGCATTTCGCTGTGTGAGTGAGTTTAGCGGAGGTTCAATGTTTTCCCCCTCTCTTAATCTTTAAATCACTGAAACCCCAATCCCCAAAAAGGCCGGCAAGGCACTTGTGTAGCAAAAGCTCGTCTGCGGTTATATCACATAAAAAATACATGTCAACGAATCATTATATAACCGGAACAACAATATTTGGATCACACAAAGAGTTGTTCTGTGCGCGAATCGTACCTGAGACATGTTGGACGGCAGCCGGTTGCCTAGGCACCACGTAAGCTAGTGATATCAGTCAGTGATATCTCTGCAAACGGCTAGATGGATTACCTGATGGCAAGCAATCGGCGCCCAAATAACCAGAGGAGATGATCATGCGTTGCAAGTCTTTTAGGGATTTGAGGATTTAGGGGTTAGGAGTAATTCCCTTTCCCTTCGGTAACATCTCTCAAACGACAAAACACAACGCTATGGTTGTTACACACTAATTTCTGTGTGGCTGTGGTGATAACTCCACCAAAACAGAGCAGGAGAAGGAACAGGGGGGTTTTGAGTCTGACACTCCCTGCGGGGGGGAGGGAGTGTCAGACTCTTACTGACTTCAGTCAGGCCCTTGGCGGGAGAAGTCATTTGGTGACTTTACCTTCACAAAAAAAAACCCGACATTTAGTGCCGAAGCATGGCTCTCCCATACTTCATATTGTTGCTTAACAATTTACTAACCACTTCTTTATTTCCAGGTATTCAAATTCCCATGGCACCGACAATTGTTTCCTGAGTGAGCGTCCTTATCGAGGGTTGGAGCTGGCTGCTGACAGCAGTTCTGATGTGTACGCCATGCCTCAGGACCAGGGCTGCGTGACTATCAACTATAAACCTTGGGTTGAGAGTGGTAAGGTTCTAAATACAATAAAATGTCGTATAATGTTCAATTAATTTTGGATTTATAAGGAAGTATTAGCGACCCACGTCGGCTCCTCCCAGATGCAATTCTAATAATAATTTTGTTCACTGTTTAATGGATGTTATTATACAAATAAACTGATATCTTTAATCAATCTATCTATTTAGAAAAAATGGCATTAATCTCGTTGCGTAGTTTTAAAAATTTAAGCATACATAGGTATATAGGGATAGAGTGAACGACTTAGTTTTATATCTGGACTTGTTATTTCGAATTATAAGTTTGAAATCGTCAATCCGCCTTGAGCAAGCGTGGTGATTAATGCTCAATCCTTGTTCGTGTAAGAAGAGGCCTTTGTTCTGCAATGGGCAATTAAAGGCTAATGATGATGTGTCAAATATTTTATTACGTCAAACGCATTTGTTTATCTGACTCTCCCTCTCTCCATACCTACCGATTTTCCCTCCAAAAAATATCTTCCATACAGATTCTTTTTAAATCTTATTTTCCAATTTCGTATACACATCATAGCCAAAACTGGAACAACAATTTGTGAATCACACAAACAGTATTATTTCCTGCGCGAACTCGCGACGCGTCGCGTGGTATCCAGTTGATCACCCAACGGCCAACCATGTAGTCATGCAGTCAAATTCATTAATATACTTCTGTGACGTCCTTAAGTCACCCTATAGGTATGTCTTCTTTACAGAATGCTTCTGGCACGTGCGATCAGGGGCTGCAGTGAGTGACTCAGCTGTGAGGGCGGCGCTGACAGTGGCGGGGCTTGGAGCATGTGAGGCCGAGTGTATCAGGGCTCATGCGTTCTTCTGTAGAGGATTCAGTTTTAGGTGAGAAAAGAGTATTAGTGAATTGGTTGTAGATGTAGGAGAGCCATGCTTCAACGCGATTGAGTTGGCTCGACCAGAATTATACCAAATCTTTATAGAAAACCAGCAGGATTATTTTCTCTTCCAATCCCTAAATCTTTAAAACCCCTTATCCCCAAACGGCCGGCAACACACTTGCAACTCCTTTGGTAGTATGGTGATTTCTTATGACGACTTAAGATTAACATGCATAACCGCAACAACAGAGACCTTTTGGGGATAAGGGTTTGGGAGATTAAGGAATAGGGGAGTGGAAGGATTGCACATCCAGCAACCTTACTGACACGGCGAAACACAACGCTGTGGTTGTTGCACGCCAGTGTTCTTTGAGGTCGTGTTATCACCCGACATTTAGTGTCAAATCATGGTCCTTCCACACTTAAAAGTTAGTTGCAATAAATGTAAAAAGAAGACTTCAACTTCTCCTTCTCCATCGGAGTCTACACTATGGAACGAGCAAATAGGTTCACTAAGAGGACTGACCGACAGACTGAAACTTTATGTCTTTAAAATTTTGTTTGACGTTCAAAAGTGCCTGTATGGGTCTAATTGAAATAAATGATTTTGACTTTGACTTTGACTTCAATACGGTAGTTTCCAACTAGTCAAATTCAATAGTTTTATCCAAACGTCAAAAACGATACTTTTTATAAAATTTGTATAATCGTAAAAATACTATGACGTGATGTCATAGTATTTTTACGTCAAATAGCATACTTATTTCACAATAATTAGCCAAAAAATATTTTAAAACTTGGTGTATCGATCGATGAATGAATAAAAGTATAGTTATTTTTCAATATTTTATTGTATTGAAACATCGGAAGACTTTATTTTTGACCTAGGAAACTACCCATTGTTCATTTCTTTTTCAGGTTCGATTCTCCAACTATTGGAGATGACCTTGAGAACTGTATCCTCACATCATCACCGCCCACGTCCCTGGAGAATGGTCGTGGATTACGACCCAATAGTGGACATGAGTTATACGCAAGGGGTAACTATGGGAGAGGGTGTGAGCCAGCATTGTATGATGATGTCCAGCATAAAGATGAAGGTAAGCTAAATCATTTTCAAATAATACACAATCCTTACACGTTTATAAGTGATCTAACGAAGAGGGCAAATCAAATCAAATCAAATCAAATCAAAATCATTTATTCCAACTAAACCATAAATAGGTACTTTTGAAACGTCAAAATAGAATAGTAGTCTGTCAGTCTGTTCGTCAGTGAAGCTAGGTAGGCCTTATCCAAACCCATTACTCTTGTTTTGTTTTCTATGAGATACCTACTAGCTATTCTCGCGCAGTTTTACCCGCTGCTCGGTTCCATTTGATCGAAGCTTGTTGTTTTATAGCCCATAGCACTCAGGAACATTGTAGCTATCTATCAGTGAAATAATTTTGGCAATCCGACCAGCGGTTCTAAAGATTACCCCCTACATACAAACTTAAAAATTTTGCCACATTATAATATTAGTATAGATCTAACAAAGAGGAAGGTATTCAAGTCCATTCCTCTGTTTTGTTTTTTATGGGATATATCGGCAAACGAGTAGACGGATTATCTGATGGTAAGCAATCAGCGCCGCCCATGGACATTCGTAATTCCAAAGTAGTTACTTGAAATACATTGTCGACCTTCTGTTGGTCATTAGCCATTTACGGAGTTTGAGATTGAGGATCAGGATGTAAATAAATATTACTGTGTTCTGATGTAACGTCGTGGTGGTCCAGAAGTTAAGGCGCCCGCTTCTCATGCATGAGCCACCAATGTGACTTTTTCCGAGTTAAATGTACTTTTTATGATTATTTAGACACCACTGACATACGGTGAAGGTAAACATAGTGAGAAAACCTGAACTAATAATATCTAATTATAAGTTTGAAATCGCCAACCCGTATTGAGCAAGCGTGGTGATTGATGCTCAAACCTTCTCCTTGTGGGAAGAGGCCTGTGTTCAGCAGTGGGCACTTATAGGCTTATGATGTGTGAACTTCTTAACTTTGTGATGCTCTTTGTAGAGTGCTACCTTCAGTATGATAAAGCAGCTAAATTGAGTGGTGGTGCCATCCGAGGTCAGGCACGTGTCAAAGACGAGCAGGCTTGCGGTCGAGCCTGCAACGAGGCTCCGTTCAGATGTCTTAGTTTCTCTTTCAAGTAAGTATTTAGTTGTTGTCTGCGTCCTTTTTTAATAACGAGTTTCTACCCGCGGCCGTGATGTGTCCCAAGATTTTAAAAGCTACAGCGTTTAAAGCGATAGCTGGACCAAAATCAAGTAGTAGTTATCTATGAGTGAAAGAGTTTTGGAAATCCGACCAGCGAGTGGTTCCAAAGATTACATTAAAAGAGGTAAAAATTTTAGGTTTGTCTGTAAGGGACATATTAGTTTAGGCTGGCGTCACATCTCAGCTTTACACAAATACAACGCTGATACTAAATGTCTCCACTATTTAATGAATGAATAGAAAACCGCCACAAAGTCCGTTGTGTAATTTTAAAGATTTTAGGGATATAAGGATAGGGACGCAGAAAGCGATTTTTATACTATGCAGTAAGTAGACAGCAGGAAAAGACTACCACCACTACCGACACCAGTAAAAATAAATTTTTCTTTAGAGTTGGCCAGCAAATGATGAGGTCACTTGGATTACCTGATTGTAAGCATTTGGCACCGTCCATAGACACTCATGACGTCAAAGGATTTTTTCGTGTGCTAACCTGTTGTGGGTTTTTAAGAATTTAACAATATTCCGCATATTGGAGATTGAGGATGGAAGAAACACATGGTTAGTGTTGTCAAACATCGGTATTCTACGAGGCTGTGGTATCACTCCGCTGAAGCTGAAGTGTGGAAGTGCCATGCTCCGATACTAATGGGCCGGCTCAACCGGATTGATACCACGACCGTACAGTACCCAACACTTGCATTGTGTTTCACCATGATGTGGATGAGGTTACCCGTGGGATAAACCCAACCCCCCCCACAAATCCCTGGAGATAGCAGTGGAGAGGAAAAGGATAAGGTTTGCTCAATTTCTTAATAACCCTTTTTTTTGTGAGGGGAAAATCATCAAATGACTTCTCCCGCCCAGGGCCGGGCAGGAGGGAGTGTCAGACTCTTACTGACTAAAAACCCCCCTCTTCCTTCTCCTGCTCTGTGCCGAGGTCGCGGTACCTCATTGCGCTTACCCCGCAACCCCGGCTGAACATCAGCCCTTTAGAGCCCCGTCTGTGGTGGTCGAATGGCTCTTTGAGGCGCGCGCGGAACGCTACGCGCCGTACGCTCGGGCCTGGTTCTGGTCGGGCGGCGAGCTGCCCTTACTCGCCGACCGCAGGCCCGTGCTTACGGTGGCCAGAAATCGTCCCTCGATCCCCGACACCCGTAGTGTCGCCAGTTGCGGCTGCTGGGGCGTGAGGAGGAGGATTGCTCCCTCACGCGGGCCGCCTCTCTCTTTTCTTAATAACCCCTAAAAGGCCGTCTTGTGTTGTGCACATGTGCGACATCGATTGCTCTGGTGTTAAGCATTCGACCATATTATCTGATATTTTTTTTTAATTATTATTAGGTCGGCAAACGAGCATACGGATTACCTGATGGTAAGCAATCAGCGCCGCCCATGGACACCCGCAACGGAGGAGTAACCTAAAATTGCCGACCTTTTAGGGATTAGGGATTTGGAGATTTAGGGATTAACGAGAGATTGAAACAATGAAACAATAAAACAATGAATTTATTTTTGCAAATAGGCCATAAAACGGCACTTTTACACGTCAATAATTGGGGGGGGGGGGGGAAGGATTAGGCCTCCGGTAACCTTACTCACAAGGCGAAACACAACGCTGTGGTTGTTTCACGACGGTTTTCTGTGAGGCCTTGGTATCACTCCGGTCGAGCCGACCCATTCGTGCCGAAGCATGGCTCTCCCACACATATATCTAGAAAAATAAAAATTTCCTTAGTTGGTAATCACAAATTTCAGACTAATGGACCTTACAGTACTTCTACATATATTTTGTTTATCTGACAGTATCTTTCTCTTCCAGTAACAACGCCCCACCGAAAACGGACAACTGTCTCCTCTCCGAGATCCGCCTGTTCGACCTGCAGCGGGGCGTGGACTACGTGCACTCGGCTGATGACTGGCTCTTTGCCTTCGATCTCTTCAATGGACAGTGCTGGAGGAAAGTTCATGTTGTGGAATATGAGTGAGTATGGATTAAGAACAATGTCGAATTCAAAGTCAATATTTTTATTTCGGACGCGTATAAAGTAATGTACCTATCTCGGGATTTTAAATACAGCAGCGTTTAAAGCGATGATAGCGAATTTATAGCCAACAGCAATCAGAAACATTGTAGCTATCAGTGAAAGAATTGGAATTTTGCGAATCCAACCACACTGGTTCCAAAGGTTACATACAAAAATACAAATTTTACCTCTCTATAATATTAGATAACTTATGTTTTTATAATAACTATCGTGAGAAATACTAAATTATATCGAGAAAAGCTCTACTAGTTTCGAACCACAGAGGGGTTCTTCCTCATGAGCAGCGTTCGCGGACGCGGCGATGTCGCGCAGCCTACTGATATTATACATCTAAGTAACCTGCGATTTTTAGTTAAATTAGATACCTAAGCTTTTTAACGTCAAACTGAATATATAAAAAGAATGTGTTAGTTTTTTGGTCAGGCCCCGAGGTATAAATTCATTTAATCCACATAATGTAGTTGCTAAATTCCATTTTATTATTACATAGAAGTGTGTGTGTGATTCGGATTCTTAGACATTATAACGTGCTTTATCGACTAACAGTTTGACCTAATAAAAGCTTCTAAAATAAAAGTAAAATAGATTTTCAAAAGCCAAATACTAATTGTTTATTACAAAAACAACAGATCAATCAACATTATCATTGAAAAAAGACTAAATAAATACCTAACTATGTATTATTTCACAGTGATCCAGCTCCAGAAGTGCCACGTCCGCTAGCAGCGCCACCTATCGAAGATCATTACCCGGTATCAGGACCGTCCGGCCCACCATCTTCTCCCACCGGATTATCCGGCCCATCGGCCCCGAGTGGACCCGGATATCTGCCGGATCATGATCATAATGGTGAGTTAGGTATATAATGAGATTGCAACTCGGAAAATGAATTATGAAATTTGCTAGTCTAGCGCAATTAGGTACCGCAGCGTCGGCCTGATTTTTTTTAAATATAATGATCATATTAATAGAACAGTAAATACAGAATTATCACTTAATATAGCAACCAAAAACCACTAAGGTTTAAATTTTTGCTATTATGAATCTATCTCAAAATTGAAAATTTTAAGTGTGGGAGAGCCAAGCTTCGGCACAAATGGGTCGGCTCGACCGGAGTGATACCACGGCCTCACAGAATACCAGCTTGATACATCCCACAGCGTTGTGTTTCGCCGTGTGAGTGAGGTTACAGGAGGCCCAATCCCTCCCCTTCCCCTATCCCTTCCCAATCCTTATATCCGCAACCCATATCCCTAAAAGGCCGGCAACGCACTCGTAACTCCTTTGGTGTTGCGGGTGTCCATGGGCGGCGCCGATTGCTTACCATCAGGTAATCCGTCAGATCGTTTGCCGACTTATACACATAAAAAAATTGAAGTTGCATAAAATATGGTGTTACAAATATAATATGTAATACGTTAATGTATGCTTACAATTATGGAAATACTTAACTTATACAAGGTGATAAGGAAAGAATAGTAGGTTTTTAGTCAGTAGGAATCTGACACTCTCTCTCGCCATACCTTGGCTTAAGCGAGAGAAGACATTTGATGATTTTCGATCTTCAAAAAAGGTTACAAATATTTTAGATATGTAACTTGCTCAGATTTTTTGTGTAGGCGCTAGTGTTAATTTTTCTGAACGCTATTTTTATGTGTTGTGGCGGTTAATGAGCTGACGCATCACCTGATGGTAAGCCATCGGGTCATTTGTAATACTATAGTCAGAATTTTAATTCGATTCCTGATTTGACATGACCTGCTGTCATTTTGTGAAATAATGATACCACATATAACAGTGTAGTGATGAACACAAAAATCGATAAACAATCAATGAATCAGTTTCAGGAATGCATTCAAAAAATTACGGCTACCGAATAGTCTAAATGCGTATCCCATGTTGTAAAAGAAGAGGAAAAAAATTAGTAAGCTAGATATGTTAATTGACAATAAATATCACAGACAAAATTCATAATAAATGTTACAGAAAGTAACAATGATAGCGATAGCGATGACGGCGACAATTTATAAAATGTCTGTTTTATTTGTCAGGTCCCTTATGATCACATTTTTTATTAATTTCACACACTATTACGAAAGAAAAGTCTCAGATCGTTAATTAATTGTCAAAACTAAATTATCGGTTCAGAAATATTTTAATTCCTGATAAACTTAGTTTACGAGATTAAATTTATAAACGAGAGGAATCGATTCAGAAATATTCGATTTCCATATCGAATAATTTCGCAACGTCACTATTTAGTACTTGTCATAACGTTGCAACACTGAAATTGTCAAATCTGGAATGGAATTAAAATTCCGAGTATAGATGTCCTGCCTACCATGCCGTGTTATTTATAGCGTCAATCTTCCGTGCGAGAAAGAGGGATGGAGCTATACACCTTTTATATCTCCATCCCTCTTTATCGCACGGAAGATTGACACTTTAACATGCCATGATAGGCCTACAGACGACTTACAAGTGTTTTGCCGCCCTTATGGGGTTGTGAATTTGAGGATTAGGAATTTGGGAATTAGGGATAAGGGATTAGAAAGGGGAAGAGGGTTGGACCTCCAACAATAGTAAGCAATAGATCTTATTGAAGTTTCTTACTTGAGCTCCGAAGAGATTGTGGTTCCCTTTTTTAGGATAGATAGATTTTCTTACACATCATTAATGGCCACTTGATCCAAACCTCGGCCGAATGCATAGCACTTTTGTAGGCGCAACCTTGTACCAATTTGTTGGTCGGATCTGATCCTTCCTTCTAAATTGGGTTACTGTTGATTGGTTCGTTGGTTTTTCGTCTACCTTACGAGTAACCATGAGTTATTTCAGACTATGTCCTTATTTTCCATCGAAGAACAGATACGTTAAGTGTGGGAGAGCCATGCTTCGGCACGAATGGGTCGGCTCGACTGGATTGATACCACGCGAAACAACCACAGTGTTGTGTTTCGCCGTGTAAGTGAGGTCATCGGAGGCCTAATCCTTCCCCCCAATCCCTAAATTTTCAAATCTCTAATCCCAAAAAGGTCGTCAACGCACTCGTTACTCCGGTTTCGGGTGTCCATAGGCGACGCAAATTGATTACCATTAATACGCGAGTACAATTGCCCACCTGTCACATAAAAAAAATACACAACTATTTTTATTTTTAACTAGCGTACCCGCCCCTGTTTCGCTCCGGTGTAAAATCTTGTTACCGCTGAATTGGTTACTACCTCCCAATGTTCCCTTTTTTCGTAAAATTTTATTTCATAAAAACGTTCTCTTAACAATAGCAGACACAAGAAAAAAGGAATTGACTAAATTAGGCGTTGTTGAGTTATTTTACATTTTGCGATTAATTTATATACATACATAGATACGTTATTTTTATGGCGCCAATGTCAATGATCGCCGTATACTAATTAAATTAATTTTCTATTTCTAGAACCACCATTCATCCCCGCATCAGGCACATCCAGCGGACCCGGATATAAGCCTTACTCGCCAGGTTCCAGTTTCAAACCCGGATATTCCGCACCATCTGGTCCTGGATATAAGCCGAATTATCCACCAAGCGGTCCAGTTAAACCTTACCCAGAACCGTCAGGACCACACTTTAAACCCGGTTATCCGGGTTCTAGTTTCCAACCTGGTTATTCAGAACCATCTAGCCCTGGTTTCAAACCTGACTACCCCGGACCAATAGCTCCTAGTTTTAAGCCTGTATACCCATCACCAGTAAATCCTAATCTAAAACCCGGATATCCCGAACCAAGTGGACCTGGTTTTAAGCCTGGATACCTTCCAGACCCGGATTTAAAACCCGGATTCCGACCGTCAGCCCCACCTCAACGGCCAGTATATAGACCTATTTTAGATACTCCAGAATATCTGCCAGGAAAACCTGGATATTTGCCAGAGAAACCTGGATATTTGCCAGATCACCGACCTGGATATCTTGGGCCTAACAGACCGGCTTATGATGAACGACCATCTAGACCAACTAGGCCCGGATCTAAACCTGGCTACCCGGATAGGGCAGATGACGAACCAAGTAAGTTTTTTATTATTTATTACTTATCATAAATAATTTAAACATCATCTAGTTATTAAGGCCCGAAAGAAAACATACAGAATTGGCTTGTTTCCTTACTCAAAAAGAAATTATTTAAACGTATAAAACTATAAAAATAGTGCAATCATACCATTCATTCATTATTATACGATTTACGTAATATTTGTATTTTTATTGTTAATTCAAAAGAAATAAGTATACTATTTGACGTTAAAATATGATGACGTCACAACGTGCTATTTCATACAAGATACCCTATGATATCAAGCTTTCAAAATTCTTGAATGAAACAATGAATAATAATTTATTTTTGCAAATAGGCCATAAAACGCCACTTTTATACGTAAATTTATATGTAGAAATACTAGATTTTATTGAATAGATTTTTAACAATCTTTTTGAAACTTTGTTTACGGTGAATTTTAATTTTGCACGACTTTAGTGACTTGTAGGTTCTTTCATTCAAAAAAAAAAGTCAAAAATCATTTATTCCAATTAGAGGCACTTTTGAACGTCAAACAAAATGTTGAAGATATAGTGTCATTCTGTCGGTCAGTCCTCTTAGTGAAGCTATTTGCTCGTTCCAAAGTGTAGATTCCGATGGAGAAGAATGAGCAAGAAACTCCATGGTTACTCTTGTTAAATCAGTTTCACATACAGATTCCTTTTACAAATACTACAAAACTATAAGCAAAAACTTCTAACATAATAATCAATAAAAAACAGTGTGTTATAATTCAACACCTATATACAGGGTGTTTAAATTAGCTTCAATCAATATCCGGGTTTTAAGTTTCAGTATCGTGGCGCCACTATACCGTATCCGGGTTCCCGTGCCGGGAAGGGACCACGTGTGCACAGAACACTGTTGCCGGCCATTGGGCATGTGAACCCGAAGGTGGAGAGATTGGTTGGTTTTCTTTTTTACGTTGTTTTTCGATTAGTTTCTTATGCATGTGTGGGAGAGCCAAGCTTCAGCACGAATGAGTCGGCTCGACCGGAGTGATACAACGGCCTCACAGTAAACCGGCGTAAAACAACTACAGCGTTGTTGTGTCACCGTGTGAGTGAGGTTACCGGAGGCCCAATCGCTACCTATTCCCCCAACCCTATCCCCAAAATTAGTGAATTTTACGATTGGTTTTTGTTTAAATTTTCTCTAAGATTTGAACAAAAACCAACAAAAAGAATGCTTTAGTAGTTTGGCGTTCCATTACTATAGATAAATATCAGTGTGTAACCAAAAACGAGGCCGGGGTTGCGGGACAAGCGCAATGAGGCACCGCGGCCGTCGGCCTAGAGCAGGAGAAGAAACGGGGGTTTTTTAGTCAGTAGAGAAGTCATTTGATGATTTTCCAATCATAAAAAAACTAGAAACGACTTAATGTTAAATATTATGGATTTCTTCAGGTTCCTGGGACTATTGTTGTGCTCCTACACACCGATGTGGCTACAGCGAAGGTTTTCACAAACCATGGTGAGTAGACCTGATCAGTAGACTAAAAAGACCAGGCATTAAAACACGAATCTATACTATAATAATTATATTTCACGTAAGTCGTTATTTTCAGTGAACGATAGGAAGATTTGTAAAAGTAAGAAGCTAAAGAAGAAAATAAACCAGTATTTCTGTACTTTATCACTTAATTTTGCCACTAAATCCCACACTCATATCATAAGGGTGAAGTGTTTAGTAATTTGTTTGTTTGTTTAAACGCGCCAATCTCAGGAACTGCTGGTTCGAATTGAATAATAATTCTTTTAGTGACGGATAGTCCATTTATATAGGAAGCCTATAGGTTATATAAAACCTCACCCTACGAGCAGTAGAAGCCGAGAAGCGGGTAAAACCACAAGGATGCAGCTAGTTTTCAAATAAAAGACTTAATTTTTACATCACAGGTGCTACGTTGGACCGAATGAGGATCAATGGCGTCCGTGCAGTGAGAAGTACTATCCGTACCACCAGCACAAGGTTCCTCATCCCTCCCAAGTTCACCAGAATTCACCTGGTCGACCTCTTCCACCAGGACATAGGGGTAAGTTATTTGCGACTTTATTACAGGTTCAATATGAATAAAATTGAAATGAAAAACAGAATGGTCTGCGCCTATAATTTTACAATTTCAAAGTATTTTGGTAGATTGAGAAAAGTATTATTTGGAATATTAGAATTTCGTTAATTTCAGTATCTATGTATGTGGTATTAGTCTATTCTCTAATCCTATGGAATCACAAAACACTGTTTTTGGTGAATTAATTAGAATTAAATTTTATTCACGTTCCTACACCCTAGGATTTTCTCCTAGGTCCTTGGTACGTTTCGAAACATACATTCTCACACACATTTTCTTACACTGAACAACAATTTTTAGACAACAATCCACTATAGTTCATACTGCACCTAGCTGCCTAGCAACCGCGTCAATCGTGCAGGTCATTTTTCCTTAAAGGTTAAGATTATCCAAACTGTAAAAAACTTTGCTAGAACGTCTACCAACAAATAGTTCATACGAAAAACTGTGTAACCTTTCAGAAGACATTCCACCACGGCCTGTTGGGCCTCGTCCCTGGCAGGGCAGACCTGGCTACGATAGACCGTCTCCTGTAGGACCACCTGCAGGCCCATATCTATCGGAAGGTGACAGAAAATACTGGGACGATTTGTACAAGAATGGACCTCAAGCGTATTATGATAAATATGGAAATCCCTTGCCAGGTTAGTTCCAAAATCATGACATTATTCCATGAAGAGTTAGTGGTTCTTATAACTGTACTAAGGCGGGGCTTTAGCAAGGGATGAGGGTGAAGCGCTATAACATACCGTGGCCCCAATCTCAAGCAGAAGAAGGAACGGGGTGCTTTTCAGTAAGAGTTCCCAATTTCACCTTCGGACATCCCGGCGTACGGCGAATATCCATCCTTACGTTGCTGAGACACCTGCGGCCCGGACTAAGCGTTTTGCCTCGTCATTTATACCGCGTACATCGAGGGATTGCAACAGTTTGCCTGCTGCAGTCTTTCTGTCCGAATACAATTTAGGTGTCTTTAAGGCTAGAGTGAATATGCTCTTAATAAACTAGTGCGCCTTACCATCAACGATTGCATCACTGCTTACCATCAGGTGGGATCGCAGTCAAGAACTAGTTTATTGCAAGTAAAAAAAAAGAGTCTAAGACTCTCCCCTCTCGCCTCATCCTGGGCGTATGATGACGTCATATGATGCTTTTCCCTCTCTCAAAAAAATCTGGAGCCATGTGTGCTTGTAATTGCACTTGCACACACAAAACTTGGTGGCTTTTTACTTTTGATGTGACCTTCAAATGTCTCTTCTATATTCCAGGTTACTCTCGGGTCCCGACAGAATCTCGGCCATACATCAAGTTCACTCACAACCAACCCCAACCTGGTAGTGGAAATTGGCTGCCAGTGTCTCCATCACAAGGCTCTGATGGACCACCTCCTCCTGGTTTAGGAGTACCAAGGTTTGTCTTATAAAACTTAGTTGAAAAGTGTTTTTCGAACCGATATGACCTTCAAACCTTCGAGCGTACTTCTTCTTAGCTTGCTGACTTTAAAGCTGAAAGCGTACTAGTGATTCCTACAGGTCTGTAAATGTCTATTAATAATTCAAATCTTTTTCCATTAGTTTCAATTCAGTTTGTTTGCACCTTATTCCGAAAAATACTTCTTGTACGTTTTACGTAAATAGCAAATCAAGCTATACCTTAATCTGAAATAACTTATAAGTTAAAAATCTTAAGCCTTTCACTGCCGACAGAAAACTGTTGAAGGTAAATCCTACGCTAACGGAGGTCACCGGTGACCCCCATGGCGCTTAACGTGTTAATAACCTTTACTATTTCTATCCAGGTACTGGCCCGTAGCCTACCTTCACAAGGGTCCACCACCAAACACAACTTACTTCCGCTACAACGAAACACAACAACAGCCGACGACAACCACTGAAATCTACACAACGCCTCGAGAAATATCCACGATCCCTCCAAGACCGGATCACACAGAGAGACACAGAGACGAAAAACAAAGAAACATTAGCGATTACGACAGTCTAGAAACTACGACTGTAAAAGCTCCACAAACGACAACAGTTAAAATCACAACAACAACAATAACTGAATTACCAGAAATACAAGAAGCAGTTACCGAAAATGTAACTGAAGTTGAAATAGTTAAACCAGAAAATGTTAAATTAAGTGAAAAGATTAAAGGTATAGATGATAAGCTTGATGATTTCTCGAGTTCGATTGAAGTTTTTGATTTAGATGATGTTAAAGGAGAAAAATTGTCTGATTTGAAAACTCTTGAGGCAGAAGAACGACAAATAGAAGAGATTGGTAGAATACTAGCTTCAAGACGAGGTGGTAAACTGGTCCTAGATAAGCGATCCCAAAAAGAATTGGAAGCTAAAAGCATAGCTGTTGACAAAGACCTTCTAGACTTTAATTTCGGAAACAGATTCAATGTTGAGAGAAGAGGAGTTATACAAAAAGTGAGTAAAGATGAGATTGAAAGAGAAAGAGAGAGAGAAAGAGCAGCAGCTGATAAGAGTTTGGAAGTGAGCGAGACTTCTTTCGTTCGACCACCAAGAGTTTTATCAACAACGGAGAATATTCGTAAAGCAATAGTTAATGGAAAAGTGTTTTATGATGCCACAATAAGAGAGCAAAGAGATACGTTTTTAAATAACTCTACAAGAAAGAGTAAGAATTTGAGATTAGGAGATGAAACTAAGATTTCCAATTTAACTTCTCCTTCTAGTTTTGGCAAGAAGATTATAAAGGCAAGAAATGTAAACCCAGTCAGAAGAGTAAGAAGGGTTTACAGAAAGAGATATAATCCAGAAGAAGTTAGAAGGAGATTGTTGGAAAGAGAAAAGAGCAAACAAGAGAGTAGCACAGACAATTCTAGGAAAATATAAGTGGTTATTATAAATTGTATAATTACTCATAATTTTCTAATTATATGATATTTGTGCAACAGTTATAAATGATTATTATAAGTTATAGTTAAAGTAATCGTCTATATAAATTTAAAATGTAGATTTTAAGTAAATAATTATTATAAATGGCTTGGTGCTTCCAAAAATTGTCAGTTTGACTTAAAATTTTTATTTAGGTTGAATTGACGATGCGTATTTCGAAATTATTAATTTTATAATTATTATAAGAGTAATATTTATTTTAAAATGTAATGTATAACGAAAAATTTTATAAATAATACAAGTAAGTACATTTAAATTGTAATAATCGTATTTTATATTTACATTTTTTTACTTTTAGTTACCATTCTGCTAAGTTACCACGAAGAAATTGATTGCAATAATTTTCTTTTATAATAAGGCATTAAAAAATCGGTTTATTTATAAATAATATATTACCTTTTTAATATTACTTTACATTTTTATAAGACTAATAAAAAGCATTTCAAATGTATAATAGTTGTTTTATATTTACATTTGTTTTTTCGTATCTAAAAAATTTATTAATTGTTTAGATACGAAAAAAGAAATGGATTGGGAGGATTGGGCCTCCGGTAACCTTACTCACACGGCGAAACACAACGCTATGTTTGTTTACTAGTAAATACACAAAAACTATCTCAAAAAAAATCTTTTCGTCATCGAGTCGCGCAAAAACCATTACCACTTTAATCCCCTTTATATATATGGTTGGAAGTCAACAACAGTTCTACTCTTCTTGTTTTCATATCAACCTATAAGTGCCTCCTGCTGAGCGAAGGCTTCTTCTAGAGCATTAATCACCACGCTTGCTCAAGGCGGATTGACGATTTCAAACTTATTATTAGAAATTATAAGACCAGGTTTTATCACGACTTTTTCCTTCACCGTTTATTTAGTGTTTTCTAAATATACTAAATACGGAAAATAAATACGTATAACTTGGAAAAAGTCCCATTGTTACTCGTCAGCTTTGCCAACCCACATTTTTTTCTGATTAAAAACACACACACAAAAACATACACATTAGAATTTTCTCTTGTGTCGTGGGTGCGGTTACAAACATATAATACACATGACACCCAGACCCAGAACAACAATTTGTGGATCACACAAAGAGTTGTTCCGTGCGGGAATCTAACCCGCGACACGTTCCACGGCAGCCAGTTGCCCAGCCACCGCACCAACCGTGCAGTCGAGTCGATTAGATTTTTATTATACCCCATATAGGTAGCCTATAACCAGCGAACAATTAAGACGTTTCTAATGATACGTCATTTTTGTCGAATTCTGATTAATAGTTTAGAAATTAAGAGGGAACAGATGAACATACATACATACATAGCCTGTCAAAATCATAACCCTCCTTTAGCTTTGCCGTAGTCGGATAAAATCTAAGTAATTATATAAACTATGTTTTGTTTTGCTACCAAGAATCGCCCACTTAGAATTCTGGCTCCATGTCAAAGGCCCACGGGAGTACTTTTACTTGATTTTCTAAAATGCACTTTCTAGTTGCAGCTTGCACTAAACGCATACCTATGCTAAACAATATTGTCATTTTACTTTCTAATACATTAATATTTTACTCGCTTTTGTTATGTTTATGTAATTAATTAAAGTGCCCGTGGGAGGGTAACATTAACATTTAAATTATAGAATAGAATTGAATAGAATTTTATTTCCTTTTGAGATACAGTATACCAGAACAAAATTAAATTGTTACCAGCTAAGGAACAATTTTTTAAGTATCTAAGAGATGATTTTTCAAAAGTCTGATAAATGTTATCTGAGGAATAAAATTGTTGCTAGACTAGCAGAATGTCGGTCCTTATGTCAGCTTGGAGTTGTCATGTCAATCAAATCAAATCAAAAATCATTTATTCCAAATAAACCATAAATAGGTACTTTTGAAACGTCAAAATAGAATAGTAGTCTGTCAGTCTGTTCGTCAGTGAAGCTAGGTGCTCGTTCCAAATTGTAGTTTCGAATGGAGAAGAACGAGCAAGAAACTCCATCGTTACTCTTTTAAAAAAAATATTTGTTTTACAATTCATAAATAATACATTTTTTATACATTACTGTACCCCTATGTGAGAACAATGCAGAGACAAGTTGTTAATAAAAAGGAACAAATGATGGTCTATCTATCATTAAAATTTTAATCCTTTGTTGTCTCGAACATGGTGCTCACATATGCGTACTCACAATCCAAAAGAATGCTTCTATATAAACTCATTCAAGGTTTCATTAATTTTGAGAATTTCAATAACTAATGACTACATATTTGAGTATTGTCCAGTGGAGCCGAACCAACATGATGCCAGGCATTCTTGTCCTCAATATAATCTGAAAGTTTGTAGTATGCCTGTCTACATAATTCGCGTTTAATATAAGTTTTAAATTTTCGTTCATTAAGATTTAATACACTTCTTGGAATTTTATTGTAACAATTTACACAGAACCCCATAAAGGATTTCTGTACTTTGGACAGACGGAATCGTGGCACAGCCAGCCTATCTTTGCCTCTTGTATTAAAATTATGTCTATCGCTTCTTTTTTCAAATAATTGCAAATTTTTCCTTACGTACATAATGTTTTCATATATAAACTGACAAGGTACCGTTAGGATATTTATCGTTTTAAATAGTTCTCTCAGAGATTCACGAGGGGGCAAGTTATATATCGCTCGGACAGCCCGCTTTTGCAAAATAAATATTGAATTTACTTCCGCAGCTCGACCCCACAGCAAAATTCCGTACGACATAATGCTGTGAAAATAGCTAAAATAAACAAGCCTTGCTGTGTTCACGTCTGTGAGCTGTCTAATCTGTCTAACTGCAAAAACAGCTGAGCTCAGTCTTCCCGAAAGCGTCTTTATGTGGGAACCCCATTGAAGTTTATTGTCTAGCGTAATACCTAGGAACATAGTCTCGTTAACAAATTCTAACTTTTGCCCATTTAAAATTATGTCACAATCATTACTGTGTACGTTGGGCAAGCTAAATTTAATACATTTTGTTTTTTTCTCGTTAAGTGCTAAATTATTGACTGTAAACCAATTATGAACTTGATGAATGGATCTGTTTACTTCGTCAAAATTATTAACACGTCCACCTATTCTAAAAATTAATGATGTATCATCTGCAAACAGCACCATTCTTGGCTCAGTTTTAAATAGAAATGGCAAGTCATTAACATACACTAAGAAGAGAAACGGACCCAAAATTGAACCTTGCGGTACGCCAATTCTTATCTCAGAGCCCCGGGAGTTAGAACCACCTACATGAACTCTCAGCTGCCTATCCTCTAAATATGACTTTAGTAGACGGAGTGCAGTATGTCTAATCCCGTAATGATCTAATTTCAGCAAGAGTGTTTCATGATCAACGCAATCGAACGCCTTTGAGAGGTCGCAAAAGACACCAACAGCATCCTGTGCTTCCTCCCAAGCACCGAATACCTCCTTTATCAAAGTGACACCGGCGTCAGTTGTACAACGACCTTTAGTGAAACCGTATTGTTGGTGATGGAAGATGGCATGTTTATCAAAGTGATGAAGCATCCGAGATAGCATTAACTTTTCAAACACTTTGCTAAGAACCGGCAGAACAGACACAGGCCTATAGTTGTTTGGTTCCTTAGTGTCACCATTTTTGAATAATGGAATAACTTTACTGTATTTCATTAGGTTCGGGAAGACACCGTCATCTATACTTTTATTGAAAATCAAAGCCAGATACGGCGCTAAAGTTCGGATAAGTGATCCGCATACTTTCACCGATAGTCCCCAAAGGTCCTCAGTTGATTTGATCTTGATTTCTTTAAAAACCTTTATTATCTCTAAAGGATTGGTATAATGAAAACTAAAATCGTCTTTGCATGATTTGACATTTTCTCTAAGCAAAGTTAACGATAGTCTGGCTGATGATTCTAAATGAGCAGTTGTTGTGACAGGTATATTAGCAAAAAATGCCTCAAACTCCTGAGCTACATCTTTGCTTGACGAAATCTGTCCCCTTTGAGTGTTTAAACAAAATTCCGAATTTTTTAATCGTTTCCTACCTGTCTCATTCTGTATTATTTTCCACGTAGCCTTTATCTTGTCATCAGCTGATTTTATTTTATTACTGATGAAAAGTCGCTTTGCGGCTTTGCATACTATTCTAAATGTTTTTGAGTACAATTTTACATGTTGATGAAAAAGGGGGTCGCAATTGAATGGTTTCATGCCATAAAGTTCAAAAAGTTTATCTCTACTCTTACGAATACCTACGGTTGCCCAATCGCTAAACTGAAACTTAGAACAGATATCTTTACATTTCAATGGCAAAATAGCTTGAAATTCCCTATTTAACACCGCAAAAAAATTTTCGTATAACTTGCTCGGATTACTGACATCAAAATTTTGTACACTTAATTTAGTTGCTATTGAATCATTGAGTTTCTCTAAATTTTTATTTGTAATATGTCTAAACTTTATTTGAATTTTTTGTAAAGGCAAATAAGTGCTGTAAGTTACCACAAGACCACTGTGGTCAGAAGGTAAACTGTTTATAATTTTTTTTTCTAAATAGTTACTGTTACTAAAAATGTTATCAATACATGTGGCAGTGGATGGTGTTATCCTAGTCGGTTCTAGAAAAACATTTTTTAAATTAAATGATCCAAACAAATTTAATAGATCCATGCTGCCTGCATTGTTTTCCAATAAATTAATGTTAAAATCGCCACATACAAGTACTGATTTATGGCTAGAACATACCTTCTCCAAAACATCTTCCATTACTGAATCAAACACTGCAAGATTCTGATAATTAGGTGGTCTATAAACACAAACAACAACATGTTTATCCAGCTCAACACAGGACAACTCAATAGTGTGTTCAACTGACAGTGCTACAATATCTTTCCTTTCTTTGGACTTAATGCTATTTTTAACTAAAATTAAGGACCCACCATGTAACATATACTTTCTACTAAAATTACTTATTACAATATAATTATCAAAATTAAAAGATATTAATTGGTCCTCTTTCATCCAATGTTCCGCTAAACACACAATATCAAATTGTGTTTTCTCGAGGAACATTTCTAATTCAAATAATTTAGAGGAGCAGCCCTGAATATTAATATAAAATAAGATAAGATTGTGCTGCCCCTGAGCCTGTGTAACAACATTTGATATGAGTTTTTTTTTGCCAGAATATACCTTACTACTAACATTATATATGGTGGTATGTTCTGTTGTCTTAAAATCTAGTTTAAATCTATCACTGTGTTGTTAGGTAGCCTAGACAGCACAGATTCGTCCCTAAAACTAATATCTGTTATATT